CAGCACCGCCGCGGGGCGATGCCGATGCCAATATCCCCAGTTTTCATCCCAGAGCCAGATCCTCTGTGCAGGCTGCATAACGACACTTTTTTGACCTTTTTCTCCCCAAGTCTGCAAACCAGCAGCTAAAGCCTCGAGGCAGCACCAAGCACTCGGTTCCTCCAGCCGCCCCTTTGAGAGCATCCATCGCACTTCAGCCGCAGCCTGGAGACGCTCAGAGCTCACGTCCCACGGCCAAGCACCGAGCTGAAACACCACAAACCCCTCGTGGGATTGCTCAGCGGACGCCGAGGCAGCGGCAGGCTTTGAGAAAGAGAGCTGCATCCAAGGGGAGTTGGGAACATCACTTTTTCCGCCTCTAATCAGCTTGTTAGCAGCCTAATAACAGAGAAGCCCTGCACATTACAAGCCCCCGAAGTGAGGCACAGCCTATTGTCGAATTGCTGCTTGACAGCCAGCTTTCGGCAGCCCTAAATTATCCCATGACAAGCTGCAGTGAAGAGGTGAGCAACCTTGCGCATAATCTACAATCATTATCATTTCCATCTTTATTACCCACAGTATGCCAAGCACATTAAGCAGGCTTTAAGGGAGCTTTTGTTTTGCAATAATTTCTTAAAAAACCTGCTTTCTTGTTAGTATCTCCCCTGCCATCTCATCAAAATGGAAATGCTGCAAAAGGCTCCATTTATTTCCTTTAATTCTCCTTCACACTTGTAGCCAGCACAGGCTGGCTTGGTAGAGAATTTTTGGTTGAGCCAAGGTTAAAGGTGCCTGTGCAGACCCGGCCTCCTCGAGCTCCGGGGTTTCACGCTCTGAGCAGCTCTCCAGGTCACGGGTGAAACTCTGGCGTCCACAGCAAAAGATCTCCCGGTCTTTCCCAGCAAACCCCCCCCAGCCCTTTCGCAATAGGTGTTCCCAAAACCCGTGCCTTCAGCGGCTCAGCAGCACCGGGGACGCGCTCGGGGGAAATGATCCCAGTCGAGAGGGAGTCCGGGCGGTGGGTCACCCCGGGGATTTCCCGGGAATAGCAACACCGAGGTTTATTTGTCACAGCAGCTCCGGGCTGGCAGGCGTGAGCTGTTCGCATTTAACACAAATGTGATTCTTGTTTTGGCTGGCAGGCAAAGGGGATTTTGGCCTCATTCATGAGAATTTTCTTCTTTGTTCTCGCTCCCTCTCACTTGAGCACGGAGCTTCACCCGGGCCAGCCTGGCTCCCGCGGGAACTGGCACCACGACAGCCCTCCACGCCAAGCCGGGGGGGAGCAGGAGCGGGACAGACAGGCGGGATGTTTTACAGCACAAACCCATCTCTGGGATTATCTGGCCTGGCCTCGTCCACACCGTGTGCGAAGTCGCGTTCGGAGTCGTGGGGGACGCTCACTCCCCAAACTCCTCCGTGGGACCGAGCCGCCCTGCTCCCCCCGCGGCTCTGTGCCACCCTGCCTGCCGCAGTCCAGCCCAGCAACGTGTGGTGGGTGCCGTGTTGCCAAACACACAGGTGGTAATTAAAATCACAGCGAAACGGTAATCGAGTGAGAAGCCGCAAGCTGCCGCGCGCCCCGGCAGGGGAGGAGATGCACCGAGGGGTTGCTCGACTCCCCCTCCTTCGCCCTTGCCCTCCCTTCCTTCCAGCTCTCGGGGATTTCGGAGGGCAGGTCCGTCTCTCCAGCCTCCATCACTGACTCAGCACCAGGGAAAGGTGCCGGCTGGGCAGCGCCCGGTCCCTTTTCCACACAGAAATGATGCTAATGACACCAGGGACCCGGATCTCCCTGGGGCCTCGTGTCCCCCCCGGCTCGCGTGGCAGCAGCCTGTGCTCCCCTCTGCTACCCTGTCCGGAGAGGGGCAGCGGGGCCAGCAGGCACAGAAATCCAGAGGGAGGGGGAGGAAATGAAACGGGAAAGCCAGGGAAGGGAAGAGTGAGGAAAACCACAAAAAATGGGAAAAGGAAAATGGGGCTGGAGGCAGTGGCCTCTGCTCCCCGGTAGTGCAAGAGGTTTGCAAACCAACCCTTCCCACCCCGATTCCCAAGCCGGCAGGACGGCAGCAGCTCCCCTCCTGGCCTAGGACATGTCGGCCTCTCTCTGCCCCCTTCCTTGCAGCCCACAGGCTCACCAGCCAGACCTCCCCCCTCCTCCCTTACCTTTTCCGCTGACTGCGACGTCCCAAAAAATATAGGGATGAAGGCTAACCACACAATGCAAGTAGTGTACATGGTGAACCCGATGGGTTTGGCTTCGTTAAAGGTCTCCGGGACCCCGCGGGTCTTAATAGCATACACAGTGCAGGTGACCATGAGAAGCATGCTGTACCCAAGCAAACAGATGAGGGAGAGGTCCGAAATGTCACATTTGAGGATGCCCCGGGCAAAGTGGGGGTTTGTAGTCCGCTGGTCCTCGTAGTCAATGACAGAGTGGGACGGGTCCACGATGAACCAGATGCAGACGCCCACGAGCTGCAGCGAGATGAGGCTGAAGGTGATGACCAGCTGAGAAGCAGGGCTGATGAACCGGGGGGCACTCACCGACTTCTTGCCCTGCTCGAAGATGCGGTAGATGCGGTTGGTCTTGGTAAGCAGGGCGGCGTAGCTGATGCTCATGCCGAGCCCAAGGAAGATGCGTCGCAAGGAGCACGTGCTCAAGTCGGGCTCGGCGATCATGAGGAAGGTGGTGGCGTAGCAGAGGAAGATGCCCGTCAGCAGGACGTAGCTCAGCTCCCGCCCCGACGCCTTGACGATGGGCGTATCGTTGTAGCGCACAAAGGTGACCACCACGAAGAGGGTGGCGATGATGCCCACGATGGCGATGAAGACGGGCACCACGGCCCAGGGCGAGCTCCACTCCAGCTTGATGATGGGGATGGGGGTGCAACTGGTGTGGTTCTCGTTGGGCCGCTCGTTGAAGTGGCACCGCTTGCAGTGGAACTCGTCCAGCTGGTACTGGTAGCCGTCGCAGCGCTCGCAGTGCCAGCAGCAGGGAATTCCCTTCACCAACTTCTTCCTCTCGCCCGGCTTGCAGGGCAGGCTGCAGATGGAGCTGGGGAGCTGGCTCCCGCCCCCCGGCCACAGCATGCTCTCCACCTGCGGGGCGAGATGGCACCAGCCCCACTGAGGCTCAAGCTGGGCATCTGCTGAGCATCCCTGGGGCACGGGGGACGCGTCGCCTCTGCTCGCAGTGGTGTTGCCCGGATCCGGCCCCTCGCCCCATCAGTACATGCCACGAAGGACCCCAGCCCTACCCAGCCGGGGACAGGGAGGCGGTGAAGCTCTCCGTCGGCCCTTTGGGGAGATTCAACACCAGAAACCCAAACCCAAGTACCCCCTTCCCTGGGAAAACCCCTCTGCTCTGTTCTGGCTTCTCCTTCCCTTATCAGAGCTGCCAAGTCGGATGCCCAGAGCCCGCGGGACACGGTCACACGCACTGACGGTGGGTCATCGTGGCCGAACCACAAGCGCGTACCCAGGGGACACCCTCCCCTCTGACCCCTCCCACGTTTGGCTGCCTAACTTTGCACCCATGGGCTCCCTGGCTCTCCCCCAGGTTTGCTGCACCCTACGTGGGTGCAGGAGAAATCTGCAGGACCTGCCTTCGCTTGGCACGGACCGTGCACGGCCACACCACAGCCTTACTTTTAGGTGGAGGTGGTCGGTCCATTGCCCAATGACTTTGTACTCGGGAGTGGAGTTCCTGATCTGGTACTGGTAGATGTCGTAACGCCCCGGCGCGTCTCCGTTCTCGTTGAACGTCACGGGAGTCCCAGCAATGCCTGCAAGAGAGGGAGCGCTCAGCACCCGCAGCACGGGGTGTCCTGGGTGATGGTGTCGAAGGGGCTCTGGTTTGGTGCTCCCCCCTTGGCGTGGGGTTTCTCACCGCAAGCTGCCAGGACGATGCCAGCGTGGGCACAGGGTGGAGGAAGCAATTGGGGAAAAGGAAACCAACCCCCAACCCAAGCTGGTGCAGGGACCTTATGGTATCGGCCCCCCGACCACCCCCAGGAGCCGGAGCTCTCTGGGTGATGCCAGGCACCGAGCGCGGTTACACCAGGCGGTTTCCTGCTTCTTTCAAGAAAGAGGGGAAAAGCAGCTTTAAAATTAAATCAAGTGAACTGTGCAGATAAACACTAATGAAAGGAAGGAAGAGAAAAATCAAGCAAGGGGGAAAAATAAATAAGAGAGACACTGCAGAGAGATCACAGAGTAGAGATAAATAGAAGTAATAAGAAGGACAAGACAGAAAATGTTTATTAAGGAGATAGAGCAGAGGAAAAGATGCATTTCCAGAGATCTGAAGACAGACAAGGACACAACAGCATGGTTCAGCG